AAGCCCTCTAGCGTAACTCCTGGCAGTGAAACAGCGCATGAGCAACCCCTTGCTGGGAGGTGGAGTTGGGGAGAACAAAGGAACTGTGAAGCCTGGGTAATCTGTTTTGATTAAAATGCAGTATTGAGGTAGCAGAAAACTGATTAGTGTGGCTTCCTTTAATGGTTTACAATTTGTATTTAGGAATATTTTGATACTTAGATATTTTTAATACTTTGACACTCGATATTTTGGGACTTTTGAGAACGAAAGAGTGAATTGGTTAAGTTAAAGAATATTCTGTGCCTTCTCAACTCACTTTCACTGAGGTTAACTGTTGTCGGAGACAGAGACAGTCAACATGGTGATAATGGAAAAACAGAATCCACCCCAAAATAAAACAGGATTAGAAATATTCAGTGAAATATCACAGGTAAGCAACCTGTCCTCCAATGGAATCGAGGACTTTTGACTATTTGTGAAGATGGAATGAATAAGGAAGAATGATTATTTGTGGGTTTTTGAACAGAGTTGTCTGCTTTGGTAAATATTCATAATATAGATTCCAAATTTCTCTGCTCATACAACAAACCCAATCCCATATCTGCGTGAAAAGGTAAAGACATCATAGTGTCACCAAATCATAAGGCTGTTTTCAGAGAGAGACGACTGGTACTGATTTAGGGTACACTACACAAACACATACATCTCCCATAATGTTATTTCATAATATTCTCAGATATTTATGAAAAATTCTCGACCACAGCTTTCTCTTCAAAACCATTTAATCCTCAAATCTAGTTTCCAACCTACCCTAGTCCTGAGACTGTGCTGGTAAATATAACAAGTAACTTCCTGGGTGATGTGGCTGACTGTATTTCACCAATTCTGACCACTTAATGTAATCAGTCAATCCTCCTCCTAACAGTCCACTTCCATGGTATTTCTCACATTTTCAATCATAACCACTGCATCACAGAGATTGTGATGTAGTGGTTATGGGTCATTAAACTCGTAATCCAAAGAACTAAGCAATATCCTGGACAACTAGGTTCAAATCCTACCACAGAAGATGGCAGAATTCAAATAGAATTTCAATTTTAAAAATCTGGAATTAAAACACAAATAACACTATTGTCGCGAAAATCAATCTGTTTCACTAATGCCCTTTAGGTAAGGAAAATTGCTGCCCTTATCTGGTTTGAGCCTACATGTCACTCCAGATCTACAGCTATCTGTTTGACTCTCAACTGCCCTGTGAAATGTTCAGGCAAGCCACTCAGTTGTATTAAAACAACGTGTCAAAAAATAAAGGAACAAAACTGGTATCAACTTCAAATGACAATGACACACTCTGCACCCTTGACCTTGCAAAGCCCCTTTATCAACATCTGGGAGCTAGCACCAAAATTAGGATTTGTCTCCAACAGCCTGATATAATCATGGTCAAGGACCATACACACAATATCCCAGACATTACCAGCATAATCCCTGGATATGTTATGTCCTAGCAGCAGGACAGAACTATCAGAGGGAACAGTACAGTGGTATAGTATTGGCGGAGGGGTGTTGGCGTGGGAGTTCTGAAGATTAACTCTAGACTCCATGATGTCTCACTGCATAAAGTCAAACACAGGCAAGGAAACCTCCTGCTAAGGACTTGCGCTCTCAAACTTGCAGGGCCCCAGCCAAGCTGTTTTTAGTACATGTACAACCTTAACCCAACACCACAAAAAATTGCCCAGGTATGTCCTATACACAAGAAGACAAATCCAACCCAGCCAATTGCCAATCCATCAGTCTACTCTTGATCATCAGTAAAGTAATGGAAGGTGTCAACAGTGTTGCTCAGCAATAACCTGCTCACAGACACTCAGTTTGAGTTTTACCAGGACCACTCAGCTCCTGACTTCATTACACCTTTGGTTTAAATATGGACAAATGAGCTGAATTCCAGGAGGGGAGGTGAGAATGACAGCTTGTGACATTAAGGAGACCTGGTGTTACGAATTAGACCAAACCCCCTGCCAAAATATCAAGGAGACAGCCTAGACCCTAACTTTTATCTTATTTAAAAGAAAAGTGTAAGGTGCTGTTTTCCAGATGTAATTCGATTGGTCACGCTACTCAGCTTTAAGCAAGACATATTTTATTCCTACCCCCAGTTAAAATACAGACAAAAAGAAAGAAGAAATTGATATAACTTTAACTATATTGGAAAATTTAACAGAATAAAGATTATTTTAAACATGAAACAGCAACTGTTCCAATATATTAAATCCCATAAACACACCCTTGGTAAAGGCAAAGGCAGTAAAATGGATTGTCTTGTGTGATTCTGGTAGCTGAAGCTTTCAGAGAGAGCGCGAGAGAGCGAGCGCGCGCGAGAGACGCTTTCTACAGCCAATGTCAAAGCCCCAACAACTACTGAAAGCTAAACTAACAGCCTGGTTTTGTGGGAGCCTGACTCTACCCACTCATGCTGTTTCTATTGTTCCAACTTTGAAAAAATAAACCAAGGCCTCATGAGCTGTTTAATGGCTTGGAGGAACTATCTTAGCACCTACATCTCAAAGCCTCTCTCTCTTCAACACAAAAATAAAGGACAAAATATGCCTCTTAAAGCCATAGTATTGTCACACTAGCAAAACTGGATTCAACGGGAATAAAGGGGGAAAACTGTCCTTTCACCAGTCATCCCTAGCATGTAGGAAGACGGTTGTGGTTGTTGAAGGTCAGTCATCTCAGCTCCACGACATCACTGCAGAAGTTCCTTAGGCGAATGTCCTAGGCCCAACCATCTTCAGTTGTTTCATCGATGACCTTCCTTCCATCATAACGTCAGACATGAGGATGTTTGTCAATGATTGCACAATGTTCAGCACTACTCACGACTCCTCAGATAATAAAGCAGTCCATGCTTAAATATACAGAAATCTGGGCAAGATCTAGGTTTGCTAACAAGTGGCAAGTAACTGTTGCGCCACACAAATGCTAGGCAATGACCATCAGTGAATCTAACCATCACTCCTTGCCATTGAATGGCAGTAACATTGTTGAATTCCCCACTATTAACATACTGGAGGTTACCATTGACTAGAAGCTGAACTGGACTAGCCATATAAATACTGTAACCACATGAACAAGTCAGAATCCAGGAACCTTGCAGCGAGTAACTCAATTACTGTCTTTCCAAAGCTTGTCCACCACCTACAAGGCACAAGTCAGGAGTGTGATAGAATTTTCTCTACTTGCCTGGACGGGTGCGTCTCCAACAACACTCAAGAAGCGTGACATCATCCAGGACAAAGCAGCCCGCTTGATTCACGCCACATCCACTAATATTCTCCACCGCACCCCCCCACCTTTACCTGATGCTCAGTAGCAGCAATACGTACTATCAATATGATGTACTCAATACATAAATTCTCCACGGCTCTTTAGACCACTCCTTCCAAACCCAAGACCAACGCCATCACAAAGGACAGGGGCAGCAGATATATGGAAATACAAATCATTCCAGAAGTGTCACTAGGTTAAAATCCTGGAACTCTCTCTCTAACGTGAGTCAATCTATAGCACACGGACTGTTGTGTCTCAAGATGACAGCTTCCCCACCATCTTCACAAGGGTAACTAGGAAGGTCAATAAATGCTGGCCCTGCCAGCTATGTCCATATCCCATGAATAAAGAAAGAAAATAAACTGGAGATTAGTTCAAAGCGGGAATTGTTCACCCTCAACATCCTTTCCAGTGCCTGCAAATTATTTCTCTTCCCTGTGCTGGTTTAGAAATTAATGTTTTTCAAAAATTACTGGAGTTGATCTATTCCCTAACAGTAACTGCTCAACAGCCTATCAATTCATGACTTTCCTGTGGTGTCACTCAGACTGTTATCTCTTCTCGTCATGTTGTTTTAGCTGGTTTCTGCTCTCCCTATCTCATGCTGTTTGGTGTTTGTGACTGTCTATGGATCTTCTTCTCTCTTCTGCTGACTATGTCCACAATCACAATGCTGGCCTTGCTAGTGATGCTCACATCTCAGGACTGAACATAAAAAGAGAAACCAGGTCTACAGTGTCTTTCCATATTGGACTAGTGAAAAGTCAAATGTGGAATAGACTGGAATGGATTGTGAAATGGGTTAAAAAAAGCTTACTCGATGATCAATATATTCTTACCTCCTTAGTTCACAATGCTTTAACTCAGTGCAGTGAAATGTTTTCTGGCATAATGATAAACCACGGAAACACAAGCTTTTACATACTTTACATCATTTTTTTTAACATTAAGATGGTATTTGGTGTCTAGTTGTATGTATAAGGATGATTTAAGCCAACAGACCATTATTAGGTTCTTCACACGTCACACCAATACAAATGTAAGCGTGCTATTGAACATTACCTGCTTAAGAAAAGAAATTAATGGTAATTGACGTATATAAAAAAATTCAGGAAGTGCATAACTGTGCCAAAATGTAGCAATTGTAGTCATGTGTTCCCACTGTGTTTCAGCAAATTTTCAGAAATCCTCCCTTTTTTAAGGTGGGATGACCACTAAGTATGTCCAGTCAAACAAGTTTCAAGTACAGAACATTTCACAAATCCAGCCATTGTGACGTTCCAGCTACAAAACCTGGTCACATCTGAAAATGGAACTGCTTTCCTAACAACACAATGTTCGCATTTCCTGTACCCAAGAACTTCAACAGTCCAAGGTGGCAGACCACCACCACCTTCTTCAGGACAATTAGAGATTGGGAATAAACAATGGCCTAGCAAGCGATGCCCGTATTCTTTTGAATGAATAGAAAAATAAATTGCTAGCAAGCAAATTGGACCGTTAGTCACAGCTGGCATTTGAATCCATTCAAGTGGAGTGACTGGATTAAATAAATAAAAAAAAACAAACATTCTATACTGTGTGTTTCCTAGCAAGGTTTCTAAGTCTATAAACAGGATGCATAATTTATACGACACTTATGCAAAGAATTTTGTTGATTCAGAATTCAAGTTTCTTACCTGTGTTCCACTGCAGCAACTACAAATCCTCGTGAAGCCAGTTCAATGCATATAGCTGAATACAGAGTCCTACAAAAAGAGAAACGGAGCTTAACTTTTGAGATGGAGAAGAAATTAACATCTCAGTAAGTAACTTACCTGTCCTCCTGGGAGCTCCCATCTTCTCAAATATGCAAGTACCTGGTCCTGAACTGAGATGTCAGGCCAATTAATAGACTAGCAGTTGGGCCTCAGCAGGTGGCATTGAGAGGCCTGTTTTCTTGATAGAAAGGTCTGGTGCATATACAAGGTACCCAGAAATGGATATCATACCCTGTGTCAAGAAGCATCACAAAATGCTACATATCTAAATCAATTACACTGAAGTAGTGCAATTTCAGTTCATTGAATTGCATCAATTCACCCGCTCATTAGTTATTAAAATATACGATGCTTCAGAATTCCTCCCAATTTATAAAAATGGGTTTTTACAGAATCCAGAATTTCCTACATTTGGGTCACACATTCTTCCCTTTGCAGGAAAGTGCACAAGCAGATATCAGATGTGGACAGGCTCAGATGACTGCCAGCTAAAAGAATTCTCTTTGTAATACCCACCAATCCATAATTACTTCCCATCCTTATGGATCAGGGTAATAATAAACGAGTTTCTTCCAATAATCCTCACATCAGGTTAATAATTTCAGTCACATGGAGAGGAAGGGTGAACTATAAAATGATGTGGGCTGCTTGGGTACCAAGTCACTCAATGGCATTATTGAAGTCCTAGAAGATCTCGTATTCTGAAACTATAATTAAAAATTAAAGTGACAACAGAAACATGAAAAAAAGTGACAGGTTAGCGGGGGCAAGGAAAGGAGAAACTATGGAGAGCTTTTCACAACAGCATGTACACGGGCTGGCAAACCCTCCTTTCATCTACCAGACTTCTTTATTTTGACCTTGAATTTTATCAGAAGTTACTACTTAACCATTGTGTGTTAGGATTACGTTTCTTCCTATTCACAAGTGGATGAAGTTCTTTAGAAATAAATGGTGTATTTGTTAATGATCTTACAATTGCTTTACCTGAAAGCTCCAAGGCCATGAGAGAAAACGACTGAAGGATATCTTCCAGTTTTAAATGGAGCATTCCATTCTGCAGGAATGCTGTATGACCCTGTCAAGAAAATAAAATGATTCAACTTTACTGTTTGAGCTGCAATGTTTGATCACATATTCCTTGCCGTTTAATGTAACGGAGCGATACATAACCATTCGATTTGAGGAAATGCTTTTGTTTTGAATTCCCCTGCTCTAACTTACATTCAAGTACTTTATTTTTCCTTTCTAATGAACAAACTCAATTGACTTCGTTAAAACAGCCCACCAAAAACAACAAAATGCCAGTAACCTGATGATGTCATATATACAAAATGAAACTGGTTCTTTCCTTTGTGAAGTTGTCAATGTTCATACCGTTTTAATACAGATTAGCAAATTTGGTATTATGTGATACAGTGTACATGTTACAGATAATTCCAAGCTCATTATATATAACAGTGACGAATAACAAAAATTTGAGCATGTAGGTCAACAATTCAGATCAATTTTGTCCTTGGAGCAGACAAGATGAAGCCATCTACAGAATCTTCAGTTTTGGTTTTACAGCTGCAAAGATGTGAACCAATGGATGTTTCCGCTGTTTGCATTGAATATGTAGAGAAGAATACTCTACACTAGAGACAGGAGTTCAGTCAAACCTGCAGACATGTGCTGTCAGTGAGATAACTATTTAGTGAGCTGGGGAGCAGACCTGGGAAGCAGTAACCTTTGACAGACAAAAAAAATACATTTAACAGAGAGGTTCAACACAAAAGCAATTACCAGAAAAGGAAAGCATACTGGATCCTTTCAAAGAAGAATCCCTCAATATAATGACTTCTGCTCCAAAAATCATGGTTTTCAAAAAGGAAATTGGAAATTATTTGAAGGGAAAAACAAAACAGAGGAGAGCCTCTACCTGAGTACCTCTTACACAGCCAGCACGGGTGACCTCCTTGAGCTTGCCACTTAAAATTGGTACACAGTTGAAGCAGTTAAGTTGACAGTGTACTTTCTGCATATAGCACTGAAGTAAAACAATTGCGCATGCCACACTACAATACTTAATGTTAAAATCACGATTAACGTTAACTTTTTTTCCTCAATGGTGATCAAAAATTACTGCAACATTATACAGAAGGCTTCTTCAGTTCCTGTCTCAGAGGCAGGTCTGACCAACAACACCATGATCTCCAGCAGAGGTAACACGAGCAGGCAGGTCCCAAATCTACTCCAGCTGGAATGGGAAAATCCAATGGCTGTTGGCCATTCAGCAATTGAGCCAATGGGAGGTCCACATTGCTTTGGCAGCATGCACTTTTACATACTGGTCGCAATCTGGAGCTAGGAAAAGTGATAGTAAAGGTGTCAATTTTCCCTCCATCACATGGCTGACTAGAAATGTCTCTGCCTTTTACTATTTGTCATTCATGTACTTTGAAGACTTGACCCGCTTGGCCATGTAAATCAATGTGCCTGCCTTTACCATCAAGTCCTGCAGTGAGACTTGGTCTGACAGATTGGCTGAGAAGCAGGAACACTGCCCACTGTGTCACAAGACTTTCCTCAAAAAAAAAAAGGTGAAAATTATGCCAAGATTTTACCATATGATAGCAATGACATGGAGATCAAATTCATACAATAAATAAAAATAACCTTTAAATCCTATTTCTTATCCACGTATTGTCCCTTGACAGCAGTATCTGAGAAGTACAGCATTTGTTTTCACATCCATGCCGACAACACTCAGCTCTAGGTCATTGTAGGATTGAGTTATTTTTCAATAATTTTGACTTGATTGAGCAAATGGGGCATTAAATTATACAGTGTTCATGGCTGTTCAGTCGTAAACACTTCCCGTGGGGAGAGGAAAGCCATGTAAATATAGGCTTACACATTTGAAAACGCTTCGATTAAAAATGGCTTTTACTGAAACATAGAGCTGTGCTTTAAAATGGCTCATTTTATGTAACTTCAAAAATGTAACAAGCCTATGGCCACACACGCACGCATTCACTACAATTATTTTGACATTAGGTTCAGCAGAGAGAGTTTTGCAGGTCGTTTCAACCTTTTAGGATGCTTTTTTATTTCATAGAATTCCTACAGTGTGGAAACAGGCCATTCAGCCCAATGGGTCCACACCAACCCTCCGAAGAGCAAGCCATCCACGTAATCCTGTATTTCCCACGTCAGACCCACCTACACCCCTGAACAGTACGGGCAATTTAGCATGGCCAATCCACCTAACTTGCCTGTCTTTGGACTATGGGAGGAAACCAGAACACCCGGCAGAAACCAAACGGGGAGAACATGCAAACTCCACACAGACAGTCATCTGAGGGCGGGATCGAACCTGGGTCCCTGGCGCTGTGAGGCAGCAGTGCTAACCACTGAGCCACCGTGGGATAATATTAGGAGGTGGCACCCAACATACTCTGAACAGACACTTATATTGTTTTACTTGTAAAGATCTATGAAGTTGGTCAGCTCAGAGGGTCAGGTTGTTACAAAAGAGATGATTTTTACTAAGTGCTGGAGAAACTCAGGAGGTCTGGCAACATCTGTGGAGAGAAAATGCAGTTAACATTTCAAGGCCAGTGACCCTTCTTCAGAATTCAACAAATGAATCAGAAGACAGGAGGAAGTGAAATGAACAGTACTTTTAAAGAAACTGATCTTCTCCTTTCAAGCCAATGTATCAAATCATTGGATCATTGATGGTGTTTTCAGTTTCTACTGTGAAACAGATATAGTGGATTAAATCTACATCAATCGATCTTTACTAGCCTCACTGGCTGTGTGAACCCTAATTTCTGAACAGTGAGAGATTAGTTAAAAGTAGTACAGCAAACATTTTATGAACCAGCATCTATGGGACCAGGAGTGTGCCAGTTGATTGAATATTCTGGATAATCAAGAGTACACATAACCGCAATAAAACCTGACCAAGCAAAGCTTAAAAATAAAAAGTAAAAACATCAACACACCTCCTAAAATCAGTCAGTAATAGAAACATCACTGTTATACTTTATTTATAGAATAAATACTCAGATTTTGCAATAGATCACAGTATTTTGAGGTATATAATTTTACCAGTTTATCAAGAGTGCTGGTTTAAGTAAAAAGTTTGCTGTATTCACATTTAGTGTGCAACTTATGGTTTCCAGTCTGGATGTTAGAAAAGATCACGCTTTGGTGAAATATCTCATACTTCTGATCAGTCAATCATTTTTCAGATACAAATGTTGACATTTTCCTGATGCAGTTTGGTGAGAAAAGTTGTTGCAAACTTCAACAAAATGTAAAGTGAACAAATATTGAAGCTTTATTTGCAATGTTGTTTTATAGTTGTTCAAAAAAAAGTCAAAGCAAGAAACATAGGAGAACGTTTCTTACCATACAAATGACTTAAAATATAGTCAACAAATCTTCTGCTACGTTTAAGAAAATCAGCCAGCCCATAGTAATATTCACGATTAGGAATCCACAGTGGTTCTTGTTGCTTCTCACTCTGTTCACATGGGTAGTACAAGCGTAAGAAATTTCCCTGTTGGAAAAATGCATACATAACATAAAAAGATATGAGCTAGGGAGCCCAAAAGTAAACCAAGTACTTAAAAACACAAATTAAATATTTTCAGTGCAGATAATAAAGACATTATAGCAGGTTCATAAATGCATGATAGGAACATAATAAATAGGTGGTAGAGTAGGTCATTCAGCCCCTCAAGCCTGCTTTTCCATCCAATAAGATCATGACTAATCTGATTGTGGCCTTAACTCCTCTTTACCATGATCTCAATAACTCTTGACTCCCATGTCAATCAAAAAGTTTTAACTCAGTCCAGTAGATACCCAAAGATCCAGCATCGAGCGTACTCTGGAGAAGTGAATTCCAAAGGTTAACAACCCTCTGAAAAAATTCCTCCTCAATTCTTCATTGGAGGAGACCTCTTTATGTTACACCCGTGTTCCTTAATTCCAGATTTCCCCAGGAGAAACAACCTTTCAGCATCTACCCTGTCAAGTCCCTCAAATCTTTAATGTGTTAATAAGTCCACTGCAGCATCCAAACAAAGTCCGACTGGAGGGAACAGTGCCTTTCCTCCTCAGGTCAAAGCATTTATATGGTGTTAGAATGGATAATTGACTTTGACTGTCAAAATGACCTAGAGACCACATCCTTCTATATTTCTCCATGTCTGTCATCTACTTAGACTTGCCCTGAACTTTAAGGCTAACATTAGGTAGTCAAGCCCACATCCCATGAATTAATAAAAACACAATAATTTTGGGGGATTTGGTGGGGGTGGGGAAGAGGAGAAGTGGTGTTGGTGGCACTCATAGCCTCATTAAATATTACACTCATAAATTACACCATGGTATACAGATAATACTACCATAGCCCATTATAAGACAGACATTAAAAAGGTAACAAGTTACGGCTATGCTTTTTAATCTTTATCACAGCATTTCTAGATTGATCACATTCCATAAACCTTGACTGATCTACATATCTCACTACACCATGACTTCAAAAATAAGCTTCCCTTTACCTTGGTATTTTTTTTTGTGAATTGTCCAGATGAGTACAAGATCTAAAGCATCAACAAAATGTGTATTTTTCAGCAGTACTGAATAATTTAGAATATTAGAGAAACACAGAAAAATTCGGTGAGGTATGTGAAGTTTTTACAGATGTGGACTAAAATTGAGTGGTGGACTTAATGTTCAAGACCCTTTGAGCAGCCAAACAATAGCTGCTTTTTGAAACGGATTTGAGTAAATAACTAGTTGCTTAGCCTCACTAAATACTCGGCATTGGACTGAGCTATACAGAGTGAAATTGTCTTGGGTTTTATTCTTGCCCGGTGATGAGATAGCTCTACTGCCATCCTAGCTGAAATTAGCTATCAGAACTGGTTACTATGTCCTGTTTGAAAGGAGTGAAGGTAAAAGAAGGACAGCCAAAAAGTTCCCATTCCTGACTGATACGCAGTAACCCAATTGTAAGTATCGTTCTACTGAAATCAAATTCAAAAAGCCACCTCCTTTTCATCAGATGTGTTTGGACTGTTGAAACAGTATGGAGCACTAAAGTGCTTTTTTAAAAATTAAACTATGTTAATAAGTAAAATAGCTTTCATATGCAGAATACTTTATCCAAAGTTGTTCACGTTTATTTCATTCATTTTCTATGTCTTTAGACATCCACTTCAGCAACTTGCATACTTTCGACTGCTACTTCTTGCAACCTGTACAATTTTTGCTGGCTTATTTAAGCTCCTTACCTGAATTGTATGACCATCCATCAAATCAATACATCCGACAAGATTTGGTCCTTTCCCAGGAGGAATCCCAAGAGAATGACTGCCATAGTTCCCCATTTCTGTTTGCCTATGTACCTGTTTATTTTTTTTAAAAAAAGCAAACGATCAACAATTGTGCCTACTGGTTTTAATCGCTCTGTGGCCAAGTGTCAAAAAATACTTCTTTAGACCAAATCCTTGTGCACAAATACGTATTGAAATTAGGGAAATTTATCAGTTTCATCATTATTCTGTACAACCATTCAACAGTAATCCTCTCTATAACATCTCACTTGTACCTCTCACTTAGAAGCATTATTCTCAAAGTAGGAGATTGTTGAAATGTAGCTTTCCCACATGGCTACTAAAAAGTTCAAAAACATTGCTGACCTGAGAAACTAATTTATGTTTGAAAAGCAAAGGACAAGTGCAATTGCTAGTAAGCACAGAGTACTTGAAAGCACGTAACACAGGTTAGCAATCACAATCTTAAAAGGAGAGAGTCTGATAATAGCAACTATATAGTTGCCGAGTACCCGGCCATCACAGAAAACATAGGACTGAAAATAATCCAGTGTCCATGTAGATCTCCTCCTACCATGCTGGCCTCAGTTGTTCAACGTAACAATGATGGAAATTTCATAAAAACTGATTTGTATCAATACTCCACAACAGATTCAGATATGGCAGAAGACAAAACCAGTAATGGAGAGGTGTGTGAACCAAAGCCCAAAAGTTTGGGTCCATTAACTTCATTGTCCAGACAGATGAAGCCAAAGACTCCACCAAGTCACCAGTCTGGTTTCAGTGGTGATGAGAACCCACTGGCACAGCGAGTATTAAAATAGGGCCACTGTCTGTGTCACAGCTGCTCAGAAATAGCAGGGACCCAGGCTCAGGAACAGATATTTCCAAGCCTTAGCATCGAATCACTATCTTACTGAAGATTCCTTTCTCATCTGTCCCCACAATCACACGAGCAGATCAATCCCCTACTATCCCCACTGAATTGTTGATCCTGTTTCCTGGGCCACCACGATGCCTGACATTGCGAACAGTTCTCTCTTCAGTCCTTCTGTAACATACTTTGGATTCTTTCAAAGCTGCACCCATTCTTCAAAAACAAATATGAACTCTCTGCCCTGGCAAACTACCATCACCAGCCTCCCTATGCGCTCTAAAGTCCTTGAATGTGCGGTCACCTTTTCTCCACATATGAGCCTTTCCAATCAGGATCATCAGTCTCAACATCCCCCACACCCTGGAACTGACACTTAATATGAATGACCTGCAGCAATGTCTTTTCTTTACATGGCCTATTTGAATCCACCCAGCCATAGCAGCCATGCTTTCAGCTGTTTAGCTCTGGAATCCTCTCCTTCAATCTAGTCACCTCCCAACTGCTTCCTCAAAACTGGTCTTTTTGACCAAATGTTTGGTCAGCTGTCTTAAATCTGCACAAGGAAGGTATTAATGTCATAGTTTGCTGGACTAAATGATGGCCAGAATAGCAAAGCTACATTTGGTGAACTGTGTACAGTGTTGATTACCTTATTTAAGGAAGGATGTAAAAGTTCACTGTACCAGTACCTGGAATGAACAGGCTGTCTTATGCCAAAAGTTGGACAGGCGAGGCTTAGATCTACTGAAGCAAACAGAAACAAACAAACTGCAACTTGATTGAAACAAGATCCTTAGGAATCTTGACAGGTTGGATGTGGATAGGATGTTTCCTCCTGTAAGAGAATACATTAAAAAAAGGGGTTACCGTTTAAAAATCTGTTATAACCAAGATGCGGCAGTCTTCCCCTCCCACTCGTTATCCTGAGAAGGTGGTAGAAACAGTGCCCTTACATGTTTTTAAAGGCAGATGTGGGTTAAATTTTGTTAAACGGAAATGCAGATTTGAGTTAACAATCAGATTGATCTTGTTGAATGGCTGATCAAGCTGGAGGGGCCAAATAGTTTTCTCTTGCTCCTTGTTCTTATGGTCCTTTCAATTTTAACTTAACATTATTTTCAATCTTAATGTACTTAAAAGATTTTTGAACTCTACCCCTTTGACCTACCTACTACTCAAGTCTTGGGACAACCACTCCCATCTCCATCTGTATTACCCAAAAACATCTTGAAAATACCAAAGATATGGTATGTACATGAGAATCCACGTCATATTAATCATTGCAAATATGCAATACAAGACATCTGAGTCACCTCTACTCTTAAATGTCAATGCAGTTTAGCAGAAATCTGGTCTACTTCTTTCTAACCACATAATTTAAATACAGTATTAATCACTCATTTGCAACTACGCTGTGTTTGCAAAACGGTTTCCTGCTCAACATCTCCTCAGTTCACGAATGTTATAGATAAGTAAAAAGACGCAATATAGAGCACTTAAATACTTTCACACTTAATTCAGTTAAGGAGATACCTTCTTGTAAAAGAATCTTTAAATAGCAATACAGCAACCAAAGCCATCTTAAAAACAGGGCTACATATGTTTTAAATTTAATCCATCCTCATTAAAATAAGATTTGTTCCTAAAATTTTAAATTAAGGACAAAAATATTCCTCCAGTTGATTCCAAATGCATCTACCTCGCCAACCAACCAGACAACTAAACGAAATTGGCATATGCGGATTCTATTATCTTATGTTGCCGAATGCACTACGCTCAAAATCTCCCCTCCCCCTACCGCATCCCAAAACCAGTCCAGCTCGTCCCTGCCTCCCTAACCTGTTCTTCCTCCCACCTATCCCCTCCTCCCACCTACACTCACCTTTACTGGCTCCATCCCCGCCTCTTCGACCTGTTTGTTTCCTCTCCACCTATCCTCTCCTCTATCCCTCTTCTATCCGCCTCCCACTCTCTCCCTATTTATTTCAAAACCCCCTTCCCCTCCCCCTTTTCTGATGAAGGGTCTAGGCCCGAAACGTCAGCCTCTCTGCTCCTATGATGCTGCTTGGCCTGCTGTGTTCATCCAGCCCTGCACCTTGTTGTCTCGGATTCTCCAGCATCTGCAGTTCCTACTATCTCCGGAAACTGGATCAGGTTGCAAGTAAATGGGAAATGTGCTGCTACTCTTTCTTAGTTTGCTCCCATATATAGCTCTCTTACATCACATTAGTAACTATTCTGATTCAACTTACTTCTTTAAAATAAAACCAACTTGCATTACTGTAGCACCTTTACTCAAAGAAAAAAAAAATCATTCAAATTCTCTTGGACAGACGCACAAAACCACATGCAGTAGATATTAAGATAGATTACCTAACCAATTGTTCATTTGGCATACTGCTTGTGGTAAAAGCAAAAATATCACACCTTTACCAGCAGACAACAACAGTTAAAATGTGACGTTTTTAATACGTGAAAACGTACGTGACTCAGTGAATAAGCATAACAATTGCATTTTGAACGGAATCAAAGAATGCATGCTCTCGATCAGAATTCAGTGACTCCACTAGTGACCATTAAATTATCAGACTCGAGTGAAAAGTGATCCACAACAATACATCTGAGACAATTCTATCATGTTTAAACAAAGGTAAGGCTCCTCTTTTTGTGAAGTCAGGTTTGTTTTAAGGAGGTATGCTAACTTCCCAAAAATATATTTGACTTTAGTAAATCAATACAAACAACATTAGACTAGAAATGGTAGAAACAATTCAAAAATTACTTTTCAATTTGTCAGTTTTAGTTTAACAGCACAGTATAATGTTTAGAGAAATGAATGTTAGCTTCAACTGTTTTATATCTATACCTACATTTATTCCTGCAGGATCCAAATAGAAATTTAAAAAAAAAGAGTAATTCTTAAAGCTGACTTTTATTCTCAAGTTAAAAGCATTGCCGAGCATGTTGCAGGTGATACATATAAGCTGTGGAAGAAGTATGTTTAAACATGGGATCAATCTGTCATGAACGGTGTCAAGTTATATGCACTGGGAGCGGTGTTCATCCAAGTAAGTGGAGAGTATTCACTCGTGTCCTACACTTTAAGACAATAAAGGAGTTCATTGAGAGTTGCTCACACTTAATATGGTTGGCCCAGTTTATTTTCTGGATTGGGGAATTCAGTAAGAGTAATATCATTGAATGTCAAAGGACGGTGGTTACATACTCTTTTGTTGGAGACGGTCATTGCCTGGTATTTGCGTGGAGCGAATGTTACTTGCCATTTATCAGCTCAACTCAAGCCTGAATACTATTCAGATCTTGCTGCACGCAGGCACATGCTGCTTCATTATGAGAAATTACAAAAAGAATTGAAGCTTTAATAAAATCAACAGATCTATCACCTTATGATGGAGGGAAGGCTGTTATTGCAGCAACTGAAAATAGGGACAGTAGTAACATTACTCAACTGGTAACCCCGAGGTTCGGATCATTGCTCCACAGCCACAAGTTCAAATCAGACCACAGTAACTAAAGGAATTAAAGTTCAAAGGATTAGTAAATTTGGAATAGCACATTTGTCTCATGAGTGGCGATTGTGAAACTAACATATTCTCAAACACCCATATATCCTTCACAAAAGAAGTCTGCTAGTACAGTCCATGTGACCCCAGACCCACATCAATATGGTTGACATTTCAACATCCTTTCCAAGAGCCTAGTCACTCACTCACTCAGTTTATCGCTATGGCAATTAAGAATAGGGACTTCTGCCCATCAAAAGATCAAAAAAAGAAGATTGTTGGGCCTCAGACACTCCTCTGAAGAAATCCTGTGATATCCTGATTTAGAGACGACTAGTTTCCAGTAACTACAACGATTGCCTTTTCTGTTGGGTACGATTTCAACCAAGGGAGAGTTTTCTTCTCTCATTCCCTCTAACTTCAAATTTTGCAAAGTCTGTTTGATTCTACAGCGGTCAGCTACTATCTTACTCTCACTTCTCTCTAATTCAGCTCTTTTGCTCCTGTTTGGACCTTGATGGTCCTGGTGGAACCCAACTGAGCAGTGAGCAACTTGTTGCAAAGTAAGTACTGCACTGTTGTTAACACATTCAATTGCTTCTTAGTGGGTTTGGAGAAGATTGATGGGACAGTAACTGCCTGGATTTGATTGGATTTAGTGGACAGGACAATTTCCCATATTTTCAAGTAGATGCCAGTGTTGTAGCTGTTCTGGAAATGAGTTGACTCATTTTGGAATGAGTCTTCTGTGGTACAGCTGGGATTTTAGTGGGGCCCACAGTCTTTGCTGTCAGACTCCATTCACTACCTCGCCATTACAATAGTGAAATATTCAACATAATTGGTGACTATGCACAGGGAATGTATGATTTTAATAAGTGACAGGCAATATTGTTCACATGTATTAGATATAGTTCGGAAGACATTTGCTAGACTGATTCCTGGAATGAGTGAGTTGTCTTAGGAGGATAGATTGGACAGACTTCGATTTCTGCCAGAGTTTATAACAGCAAGGGGTGATATAATTGAAGCATATAAAAAGGTCCTGAACAGTCTTGACAAAGTGGATGTGGTGAGAATGTTTCCTTTTGTTGATAAGGCAGTGCTCCCCTAGTTCTGGGCTTAAAATTAGGGGTCATCCTTTTAAGACAGAGACGAAGAGAATTAGGACAAATCAAATCCAGGCAGTTACTGTCCCATCAATCTTCTCAAAACCCACAGAGAAGCAATTGAATGTGTTAACATTAGTGCAGTACTTACTCTGCAACAAGTTGCTCACTGCTCAGTTGGGTTCCACCAGAATTTTCTCAGGACTTTGGAATTGTGCCTCAGAAGTCAACAGAGGCAAGATAATGAATATTTTTAAAGGCACAGGTAGACTGATTCCCTTTCTGAACAAAAACCTAAGGTAATGAGAATGTGAAATTCAAAACACAAACTGATCAGTCATGATCTGATTGAATGGCAGAACTGGTTTGAGGGACCAAGTGGCTACTTGTGATCCTAATTTGTACAGTCAGTCAAATGAACAACGAAGTTAATACTGCTCCTGTGTAATTTGTATCACAACTGTAGGTAAGGAACAGATCTGTGGTTAAATGCCAATGGAAAAAATTTGTTGTTCAAATTGAGCTGAAAAGAATATTTTACTTTCTGTCTCACAGCGGTGTTATGCATTGACTCAAGAAGTTTGGATTTACATAATGTCAGTTGCACAACAGATAGGAGTTAAACCCGCTGCAGAAAATCAGATTATTATGAACATACACATCTTTTTTTGAGAAAGGAGTCATAATAGTCAATTACTGCTGCTTAGCCTCAGACTGAAAATTAACTACAAGTAGCTCATTCCTTCAGGTATTAAATATTTTTGGAAATTTTACAAAATGTTAAAAATCATTTTTACTCTTGTTCTAGATCCAGAGTTTCTTTATATGTTTGTACTGTTTGTTTTTGGTCAAATTCACCTAGTATAATTTACATTTGCTTCTGTGTCTTTGTGCTGTTTATATTACAATCTTCAAATCTCTTGGTTAAAGAGACAGCTTATTGATTGCCCTCTTCATCAAGATCCCAGATGCCCAGTTTACCTCACTTCACTTACCAACTATCAAATTCAGCTACATAGGAGTCAATAATATTTGAGCTGAAGGGAGGATGGGGTAAATCCAAATAACAACAGGCACCATTAGAAACCTTACTACACGTTCAATGCCCAGTGTGCTACCAACATCAGCCCTTGATGATTTCATTTATCAGGACACTATTATAGAAACTGGATTGGTGCACTGCTGGTTCTGCTAGAGGTCCC